TGTAGAAAACGACTTATGATACGGTTAATTTAATCAACAATACATTTTGTGTGATGAAAATTTCTATTTGAATATCAAATAAAATTAAAAAGCATAATATATATTTTTATTCCGAAAGCAATAGAGCTTATAGGTATCAATATTACATTAAAAATAGCAAGGATTTGTATAGTGAGATAGTGATCTCACTATACAAATCCTTGAAAATAGTAAACATCATATACTATATATATGTTGTGTACAAGTTATCATTTTGTACAAATTATAATTTGTACAAAAAAAATTGTACAAATTATAATGTGTATTTTGACTTTGTACAAATCGTAAGTGCTACACACTATAGAAACTTTTCAATACAATTTTTCAAGTCATATTGATTCATGTATATTGCCTTGGGGTTATAAATTGAACTCCTGTTCACTGGTCTTTATATCTTTATTCTTATAAAGCCAATGCATTACATCGATACAGAGATAAACTGGTCTTTCAAATTGTCATTTGCAAAATTAAAAGTTAAAGTGTTCACTAAAATGGCTAGTATTGTTGATCAACAGGATAAATTCTATCAAGAAGTTCAGCAATTGTGTCTGAAGGTTTGCGCTTTGTGGATCAACTAGTACAACTATTAAAGTTGTATCAGAGGAAGTCGAAAACGGACATTGTCTGGGAAGGGGATGTCCTAACAAGAAATACAAAACAGAAACTGAGCAAGTTATATATTGGAGACAATGTCCCAATTCCACAATATGACTGAGCACCGAACGATCCGAGGAATATACAAGGTGTTGTTGTGGAAGTAGGAAATGTTGGCTATTGTGTAGGGACAATAGCTGGTAATATATCAGGAGTCTAGTCTTAAGCAGAAACCAACTAGAATCAATTAATGACTCTTTTTTTGTCTGTTACACAGTTTCTTGATTTACAACTTTCCCTGAGCAGCTGTCAAAAAAATTTCAAAAACCGGTGGACAGGGTTATCTCTCTTGCAAATTAAGGCGATTGTAACAATTCGAATTGTAAATGCAAAAAGCAGAATGTATTGTGTAATTCGAGGTGTCATGGTTCGCACTTCTACTCCAACAAATAAGAGCATTGTATATTATGTATTTAAGGAATGACTGTAATATTTTTTCTGTCTATGAAGAAATAACATCAAAAATGTGGTGCACACTGAATAACCCGCGTAGCGGGTTATTTTAAAGTGTGCACCACATTTTTTATGTTATTTCGAATAGACAGAAATAATATTACAGTCATTTCTTATAATTTAATTCTAAATTCCATTTTAAACCGTAGTAAACCATGAAAAAACGTTGATGACGTCACGGTCACATGACAAAATTATGTCTATGAGCTGATCATTACAAAACAACGTCAGCCAATCAGAAGACGCGTTACATCCAAAATTAAATTATAGTATTATATTGTAAATGGAGTTATCAGTGGGTTTCATATTGATTCATAATTAAAATTAAAATTATTTTTTATCATTTCATTTGAAACTTATTCTATGTAAAATATTGTAGTTATAAGTGAAATTAAGCCTTATTTTGTACAAATTATAATGTGTACAGGCACTTTTTGTACAAATTACAATTTGTACAAAGTCAAAATACAAATTATAATTTGTACATTTTTTTTTGTACAAATTATAATTTGTACAAAATGATAACTTGTACACAACATATATATACATACATATACGTCTACTCCTGATTTTATGATCTATGGTGAATTTGGAAGATATCCATTAGAAATTTTAATCAAATAACGAATGATTAATTATTGGTTCAAGTTGGTATCTGGAAAACCTGACACATTTGTTATTTTGTATTATTTAACCACTGCCAAATTACAATACAATACAATATGCTTTATTTAAAAACACTCCGTCACATTGACATGTGAAACAAGAGGTAAATACATATTCTAGCATTTCTGTTTATATCCAAAAACCAAGTCCAGTTTCAATGTGAAAGTTATGTGCATGTAAACGGTACTTGTTTATTAATGGTTAAATAGGTCTACTAAGATAAAACAGCAATCCATGACTGTCATATATGTATTTGTAAAACTGACAATTAGAAGACAATGCTTCAGAAATAATCTATCCGTAACACGCTGTTTGAAATCAGCTATAAAACTTCTATATTTAAACATTTTGTGTCAACAATATATTACTTAAGCCATAATTACACAATAAATCTCTTATTTTACAATTCAGTTTATTTTTACTTTTTTCATTGCTAGCCGCCAGCATTTCTGCATAACAATTTTTCAAAATACAATTGTCATTTTTTAACAATTAACACCAATATTTCATCATTTAAAAGTACCTCTGCATATACAATGGAACTCTTCCTAGTTCAAAATACACCAAGTAATTTTTAGTTCTCTTTTTTACTTTCAAAGTCCTCTTTAAAAAAATTAAGTAAAGAGTTTCAATGTCAATTGCTTTATGATATCCCCACACTTCACTACCATAATTCTCTATGCTTGAAACATATGTATCAAATAAAGACAGTTAGTGTGTCTCTGTATTAAAATAGTCTTCTTGAATCTTACTAAATAAACTGAAAACAGCTTTTTACCTTGATTTGACAGCATTTTCTGAGTAAATTAGTAAAAACACCATTATAATTTAACAGCAGACTCTTTTTATATAAATTCATCACATAACTCAATATTCTCTCCATTAATGAACCATTTTTCTTCTGCTTTGATAACACCTCTGTTTCTAAATACAACTATCTTAGTTTTTAACATATTTATATGCACATTATACCCTTCAGAACATATTTGAACAACATCTATCATTTTTTGAAGATCATTTATATTTAAAAAAAATAACAGTACCGTCAGCATATATTAATAAATAAAGATTGAGCATTCTCATGTCATACGATTGACGACCCTGTCAATTCTATTTCAATGTCATTGACATACATAGCATACACAAAAGGTGATAATGATTCTCCTTGCATTAGACCAATGTCACAGTTAAAAAACTCAGAAAAATTTCCCCTTCGGTAAAAACGTTTCGGATACGATTTTCTCATTGCGTTAAACATGCTTCCATGTTTGTTTTTATAATTCCGCTTCAGTTTATTCTCGATAACTTTGTATTTTGGGTTTATCTAAGTTCTTTTTCAGTCTATTTTCCTCGGAGTGATTACGGTTAAACTTAATAAGAGCATGCTTGTAGTTCTTACACAGTATTTTACGATCGTCTGTTATCCATGGTTTGTCTCGTATAACGTTCGTATAAAGACCAGTGAAATCATCACAGAGTATTGTTCGTTCTTCTTCTCTACTCTATGTGACGTGTATTTTTCAAAAATATTTTTCAAAATAACATTCATTTCATTCACAGTGTTATTAATAGCATCAGCATCTTCTGTTATATTTTGGTGCAGTTCTTCGAACTTATGTGCGTTGTATATTAAATCTTCTCGCGAAAGTCAATGTTTGGTTTGTTAAGTCACTTGAAAGTATATGAACATCATTTGGTTATTGCAATTATCAGTAGTGATTTATTGTTTTCTTCAACATTCAGCTTTTCCTATCGAAGGTCGGTTGTTTTCTCCGGGCACTCCGGCTTCCTCCACCAATAAAAACTGGCCGCCACGAAATAGCCCAAAAGCGGTGCTTAAAATGGCGTTAAAAACACAAAAATCAAAAATCAAAATCAACATTGAGCACTGTTAAGAGTATAATACAATGAGTTGTATCTGTATAGTTAATATGCTGTTAATATTTTAACATTTTATCCTGTTTAAACAATTAAAATATTGTGTGCCATGTATAGATATATGGACCTTTTGGGTCTGAAATATATCTCATCTCAACAAATATCCTGAAATTCAATGTATATTATTAAAGCATTTCTCTATTGAGAATATTTTTGTTTTTTGTGTGTAATTGCCTTCTTTTTTCATTTTTACTCGTCGAAAGGAGAATGTATAGTAGTGTGGATTCTTAAAATACTGATTTCTATTGACCGATATTTGATGTACCTTTTGTTTTGCATCTGATAAAACAGGGAAGGTTGAGAGCAAAAAAAAAAGACAGGTAGCTGAAGCACAACATAATGATGTTAATGTACCCGTGCAATTAAAGGTCAAGACACTTTACAGTAGTTTTCTTCTGTTTTATCTTGATAGATGCGGTGTTGATGGTCCCAATAAGTCAACTCAGAAACGGTTTTAGACTTCGACCCATTGTATAAGTTTTGTGTTTTTGTGGAAAACCGTATGCTGACATCTAGACATTCCTTCCGAATTTAAATTTTTTTCACATATCATTATCGGTGCTATCAAATGAGGACGTGTGGAATGGTTACTAATGAGACAACTATCTTCTAAAAAATCGGATTCCACATCCCAATTTTTACGTTGATGTTGTCTATAGAGCTCGTAAATTAATATATTAAGATCCATATAAATTTATTCTTTCTTTGAACAAACTCTTTCTTCAAAATTATCAATTTTGCATTAAAGTAAGATTTTTCAATATCGTCTTAGGCAGTACTATAGCATTAATATTGTATATAAATTATATTTTGTATGACAATAAACCCTTCTGTGACAACCAATGAGTATGGTCTGTAAGAAATGCCACGGTGTAAAACAAGATACACCAGTGGCGCTCAAATAAGAACAGCTGGAACGTAAAACGAAATACAAAGTTGAAGATCATTGGAAACAAAAAATCTTACTAGTAGTGCTAAATATGGTTTGACCCTTCTATATCTGGATAGAAACATATAGTGATTTGAATAATTTTAAAGTTTTTAAACAGTTAACTTTTAAACAGTTAACTTACAAAACTGACTGTGTCAACACAGGAACACTGACTACTCCCTAGATGACAAAACGTCCACCTGCAGTGGCATCGACCCAGTGGGTGTAAAATCTCATTTACAAAGATGACGGGTTTATATTTTGATACATCATTTTTTCATTTGATGCACACCAAAATATGTCTGTTTTTCCTATTTCAGAAAAGTTCCCAAGTACACATAAACATGAGGAAGATAAAAGTGTCAATGCTTGTTACAATAATTATTGTTATCCTCTTAGTATTGTTCACAAAAAACACGAACTATAATACTACAGCTGGAGATGGTAACCTGATATTTAAAACAGAACCCAATATTGAAAACAACAAATCATCATCAATGAATTCAGTAAAAGACTACAAAAGCAAGTTTGCGAATATCATAGATGTGGTCAGACAAATGAATGTGACGCCTCTTCTGGTTACCCTTGTAAACAGAGCTTACCTACCTTTTGCTTTCAGTTGGTTATGTAACACAGAACAAATGGGAATTCATAAACAGGTAAAATATCTATATTTAGACTCAAACAGAGAGAGATCTTCTCTTTGTTGGTGGACTGTAAGTCCTATATTCGGGCAACTGATATTAAACTGGACCCCTGTTGTGTTCACTTATCGCTTCGGAGGGGAGATTAAGATGGAATGGCGGACCAGTTTAAACTGATATTGGCTTGTGTATGATCGATACAAACGGTATTTATTTTAACTAGCAAGAGCCAATTTCCCATGTATTTATTTCACCAACATGCTCAAAATGAGAAATTTGTTACAACTACACTTATTTGAATAATAAAAGGGTCTGCATAATATACTTCAAATATTTTCAACAATTTTATATATCAAATGGTGATATAATCCTGATGGCTAAAAAAATTGAAAACAACACGTTTAATAATTGCATGCGTCCGAAGCGCTTTTCTGGATTTACCTTCATCAGGAACGCTGAAAGCCAAACATTTGAAATTCGAGGATGTATAAGTACCGAAACCGTTGAAGAGCTATATGACAAAAATACCTAAAAAAAATAGCCAAATTCATCTAAAGTCAACTTTGCCTGAGGGAGTTGAAACCTTAGTTTCTTAATAATTTAAAAATCTAAAAACGGACAATTTTAGAAAAGTTTGTTAAATCATGTCAATACCGAAGTACTGACTACTGAGCTGATGATACCCTCGGGGACTGATAGTCCACCAGCAGAGGTACCGACCCAGTGATGTAAAACATTGAAAACAACACGTTTAATAATTTCATGCGTCCGAAGCGCTTTTCTGGATTTACCTTATCATATGACAATATCACCGATGTCTTTGAGACTATGAATCTTAATCATGATTAAAATTCTCCCAATGACCTTTGAAAGGGGCCTCGAAAGAATTGATAATTTGCACGCCTGGAAAACCATAAAATCTCAACCAAATTGTTAAGCAAGAAAAAACTTTACTGCCACTTCCTGTTGAGCTTTTTCTGGTATAAACTCAAAAATATAGATAGCATAGGTCGACTGTTCATCAATTTATTGTCAATCTGTGAATCTTTTGTTAAATAGGAGAATGTCATGCCATAGATAAATAAATGAGAGCTTGTCTCGTTTATTATTCCGACCAATATAATTTTAAATGACATCGGAATAAAATTTCTCCCGCAGGTAAATGCGTCCAGCTCAGTGAGTTTTTGACAAAATGAGAACGAGTTCATCAATAAATCTTAGTGCGTATATATCAGTATATTAGTATTTTTCTTAACCAATATAACGTATAATAACAGTTTTTTTCTATTTCTTTACGTATATGATTTTATCAAGCTGAATATATTATAAAGTATGTCGGGTTGAGATTTTCTAGTATCGGTTGAGATATTCTGGACCAAAGTTGAGATTTTCTGTCGAATTAATTTTCAACTAGTTAAGTGTCGAATACGACCGTAAAAATTCATAAACTTTTTGTATAGGGGTTTTCATTTTTATGTAATTCTAGTTTTGACATTAGTTTTTATATGGAGCCATATATAAAGTCCAGTGCTTGAGATGTATCGTTTAGCGCTGGAGCTGTAAAATCTAACACAGAAGATATAAAGCCAATCGCTGTCGATATAAAGTCAAGCGCTGTACGTATAAAGTCCGGTGCAGGTGATGCAAAGTCCAGCGCTGTAGATCTAAACTTTCAGAGCTGTTGATTCCAAGTTCCATCGCTGGAGAAGTCGTCCACTATAACTGTCCGCTGGACTTTATATCTTCATCGCTTTGGTTTGCATCTCCAGGGATGGACTAGAACTACAGAGCTAGGCTTTACATCTCCACCGCTTTGCGTTGCTTCTCCAGCGCTGGACTTTGCTTCTTTAGAGCTGGACTTTTCATACACAGCGCTTGACTTTAGGTATAGCAATACACAGTAAGGAAAAACTTAAATTTGACACTCATAATTTTTAACCACTCCCTTTTTTCTAACAAAAAAGTCTTACTGTTAATGTCATGTTTGTAAATATGTATGAAAACAACATCTTCCATATATTTGATTTCCAATAGCTAAATTGGTGAAATATAATCTCTTTTTGGTGTTAACCATGACAACAATCTACATTGATTTGATACAAATTATTGCAAAAAGGGATATGAAAATGTAACAAAGGTCCCCAAAATTTGGTCCAAATTAGAATTTCAATCCATTTGAGTGATACCTTTTCTGAAACCATAAACATTTATCTATCAAGATGTCAAATAAATAAAAATAAGCATTTTACCTCTTTTTTGGATAAAATTGGATAGAACAAATCGAGCGTAAAAAATTCATTGGAAACACTTCAATAACTTCTGGACAGATAACCTGTACGAATGTGAAAAACGGACTGTCAAACAGAAAATGGGCCATAAAAATGCAAAAACAATTTTGATGTTCATATAAACACTTTTGAAGGCTTTATTATTCTTTAGCTATCTAAGACTTAATTGTATTACACTATAACGTTCGTATTTGAAAAATTAACCGAGGCCAAACTGCGAAACCAAACTCCAAACTGTGTATTGCCACCTTATGACTATCTTCGCTAGCCAAGGGTTACGATCCACTTCCCAGAGGAGGGAAGTGGATCGTAACCCTTGGCTAGCGAAGATGCCTTATGACTACAGTCCTAGACTTTATATCTTAAGCGCTAGACTGTACATCTTGAGCGCTAGACTTTACATCTTGCGCACTATACTTTACTTCTCCGGCGCTGGACATTACAGCTTTAGCTATAGACTTTAAATCTTCACACTCAGCGCTAGACTTTTCATCTCGTTTAAAAATCACTACTCTTTAGTATCTGTATTAGTCCAGCAGGGCTCCACATAAAACTAGTGTCAATACTAGAAACATATCAAAATGAGAGTCACTGTTAAAAAACTTAATGAATTTTTACGATCGTATCCGACACTTAGCTAGTTGAAAGTTTCATTCGATATGCAGAAGATCTCAACTTTGGTCCAGAATAAAACAACCGATACCAAACAATCTCAACCCGACATACTTTATAACATATTCAGCTTAATAAAATCATATTCGTAAAGAAAAAGAAAAAAGCTGTTATTATACGTTTATATTGATTAAGAAAAACACTAATATACTGATATACGTACTAAGCTTTATTGGTGAACTCAATCATTTTGTCAAAAAATCACTGAGCTGGACGCAAATACCTGCAGGCGAAAAGTTATTCCGATGTCATTTTAAATAATATTGGTCCGAGTAATAAATGAGTCAAGCTCTCGTTTATTTATCTATGGCATGATATTCTCCTAGATTTATAATAAATTGATGAAAATCTATATTTTTAATATTTTATACCAGAAAAGCTCAACAGGAAGTGCCAGTAAAATTTTTTCTCGCTTAACCATTTTTGGTTGAGATTTGATGGTTTACCAGGTGTGATTTGGTGTCTTTCAATTCTTTCAATTCTTTCTAAAACATTGGAAAGTAAAAAAGAATTCTCCAAAAAAATTGACCAGTTTACTTCGACATTTACATGGTTACAATGAAAATACTTATATATAGCAATTGTCATAAAATCGTGCGAAATGTACAATTTAAAATTTGACTGCAACATTGTTGATATATTCGAAAGCTAAACTTTAAGAATTAATCTGTTTTCCAAATATTCCAAATATAATAAAGGATCATAAAGCTCGAGATCTCTGAAAACGCGTATGTAGGAGGGTGTGGATAAAAATACAAAAAAAACAATACAGAAATGAAGGACCCCCCTTTCCATACCCTCATGTAGTTATAGATTTTCGTTTTGATAAAACAGATATTAAACTACGTATAAATAAAAGCCTTAATGAATAATTTTATAAATTTACATTTCAGGTCTTATTCATAACAACAGATACAGAATCAAAAGACCAGCTGAATAAATTATGGCCAAATATAAGGGTGGTAGCCATTTCCGGAATGTCAGCAGTGACGAACGATCAAGCGTATAGTCATGCTGGGTACATACGTCTTATGATACGCAGGACACAAATATTACTAGATATTTTACAGAATAATATACCAATATTTTTGTTTGAGGTAGATTGTTTATGGATAAAAAACCCTGTTCCGTCATTAGTGAAAAATGAAGGATATGACATTTTAGTAAATCCGGTTTCAAATCGACCAGGTGTGATTGCTGGAGGTTTCATATATATGTTTCCTACACATGCAACAAAAGTCCTATGGGCTGAGTTAAATGCAAAGTTGCTTACATTGGAGAAAAAAATATCAAATTTATCCCCTGAAATGGGCATACCTGAAAGTCAGAATGACCAAATGTATTTATCAGACCTTGTAAAAAAACGAGTTAGTGGGTTGAAACCTAAATACTTACCGTTAGATGAATATGCAGATGGTAAATGGTATTCATTTCCAGAAAAAATAAGAGCAACATTGGACCCATATGTGATCAACAATAACTGGGTTATCGGTAATAAAAATAAGATTTTAAGAGCAAAATCATGGGGTCATTGGTTTGTTTTATCGGATAACACTTGTGATAGAGATCAAATTAAAAATATTGTAAAACGTTGATAGATGTCTATTACTTATGAAACCGGAAGTTGTTTAATCAATAATGATTGCTGGTGAGTTGCTAATAAACAAGAAGGTGATAATTCAATTTGGATAAACTTAAATAAGAAATCAATCAAAAGAACAATAAAACAACAATCAATTTGAGATTAACATGAGGTCTTTAATGGTACAAAAGGTTCAATGTCACATGTTAAGCTCTAAATTTCCCCGAGTATTTTGGTAAGGAGGAAATACGATACCAAAGGTTGATAAGAAAACAACATAAGTCGAAGAAACTTAAGACAGACAGCGCTCTGCCAACAGAAATAAAAAAAGCCAAAAACGGTTCACAAAGTATATCACAGAAAACTAGGGGTTAAGCAACACAAACCACACTACGACTTAAGTTGAACCAAGAATCTCATTTATGTACACGACATTTCACTTTAAATTACATAAACCTGCCATCAACACGATTGAGTTCTCTAAATGCAAATCTGCATGCACCGGTCTAAATGCAAATCTGCACCGGTCTAAATGCAAATCTGCACCGGTCTAAATGCAAATCTGCACCGGATTAATATCTAACCTTATCCCGCATGCAGCTGTGGTCGTCCAGTTGAAGATTGTATTCACTATTTTTCGAATAACCTTTCCACAAGGAAGCAAGAGATATATTGTCTCGAAAGATATGTTACATCAATTGATCTTCTAAAGTCATACCCCCCCCCCCCCCCCCCCCCCACACACACACTTGACAAAATAGAAAAGAAAAAAATGAGTTGTACATTAGATATTTACCATGATTCCATATTTTATTCTGAATTTACATAGCAATAGACAGTCCCCACCAAAATCCTACCATAAATGAAGCCCTAAACCTATACCAGTTCTGGTAATGCATCCCACATGTTATTGATGCTTAATATAGACAAACTTATTCAAAACATCAAAGGGTGACGTACTTATTTTTTCAGAATACAACATTGAAAAATTACATTTTTTTCCATGATATTAGATTACTGATTTTTTCTTAGTAAATTAGGGGTTCAATCTTAACTGAAAACAAACAGTTTCTATATATAGATAGAAAGAACCACAATCTGGTAAAAAGATAGGCGGAAGTTCAAACTCATAAGTCGATAACAGACCGACAACGCCATGGCAGAAACGAAAAACGACGAAAAGACAGACAGTTAACAAAAACAACAAAAAAAACAAATTGGTTTCTTTAAAAAAAGGAAAGCAATACATGAACCCGAGATCGCTAACTGGTAACCAAAAAAATGTTGCTAATTTTTTTTGCCTTTGATTTGAAATAATTGACTGTGAATAGAATGAGGTAATGATGATGTTAAAGCACCTTTTTGGAAATATGTAATTGTGTGTATATTCTTGCACAAGTCAATAAAGAGCACTGTCGGACTTTAGTTGTTAATAGAAAAGTGTATATAGCTACCAATTGAATTTACCTTTTAAGGGTTAACTTTTTATTACTTGGGAGTGTAAATAATTGTTTTCTTCGTGTTTAATATACAAAGTCCTAATCCTATTGCAATTCCAAGTTTCTGCAAAGCGGATGTCTAAAGCAAATTGCACAAACAAATCACAATATAAATTTTAGCACTCAGTTTGCTTTATAATCTTGATGAATTTATTTTATCTTTCGTATCTTCTGTATTTATAATAGAGAAATTGAAAGTACAATTTCCAGGTGACGTGTAACTCTATGGCATGCAACTTATAAGATTTTTTCGTATTTTGTTCTTGAGAGTAACATACCAGCTTTATTAGGACCTCTTATATACTGACAATAATTTTGGTCTCATAAAACATCTCAAATTCTAAAGATTTCCTGGAGTTACTAAAATCCATCCAAATATTCTACAGGACAAAGGACAAACATAGTTTTGAAGAATATCTTGTTTTCAGAAGTTTTATTAATACCCGAACATGCTCTCAAAAGACTAGTGTGAAGCTTGTCTCAAAAGAATCAATTTACATAAAAAGATATGTTTAGTAAGTCAATAAATACATTATAAATACTATTATACTAAAGTTTTATACGTGTTTTGTCTGCAGAAGACTTATCAGTGACGCATGAATAAAAAAAACCTTAAAAAGGCCATATAAAGTACGAAGTACAACTAGAGGTCAGAATACTTTAAAGATGACAATGCTCAAAATTCACATGTCAAGCTCTTACTGCCGTGTCCTGAATTTAGATAATAAATGCGAAAATTCACATTCAGCGAGTGAAATTAATATATATGCATGCAAGTGGTTTTCTTGCGCAAGAAATAGTAAATGGAAAACATACGCACTGATATTCTGGATTAGAATATGCATTTGCGTCATCAAGTTTATTTATTCTAGGCTAAAATCTTATGTTGAATTCGGAAATCAGACTACCTACCTCAAGCGGTTTGACTCCGGATTCATTGTCATTTAATCCGGAATTTGTTTGAACGTAAACCGATAATGTTCTCAAATCGGATTTGTTGTGTCATGTAAACAGGTTGTAATACAAGTAATAGCTTTTCCAAAAAACTTGCCGTTTTATAGCTTATTATATTGAAAATTGTTTTTTTTTTTTAATTTGTAGTTTCATCCATTCAGAATATTCCTCTGCATATAAATTGTATTGGGGTAAAAGATGTGGAACAAAGGAAAGGTCTATAATATAGTATTTTATGGGTTACCATTTTTGTTTTGTGCGTGGCGATTTTCACCCCCTGGAAAGAGCTTAATTGTTTAAATCACTTACGTTTTTGCCTATACTAATTTCGGTAATCTTTTTTTATGAATAAATTTTTCAGCAGACATGTCATTTATTTACTCTCTGTTTGATTGTTTGTGTTTGAGATAAGTGTGATCAATATCTTTCATCAATTGTCCCGATAAACCAACTCACAAACGTTTTAGATCCAACTGAATCTTTATTATACCGGAACTAATTGCTCCTATATCTTACTTGAGCCGGTTCCAGTAGTGTATAAGGCATGTTATGAAGTAAAGTGAGTACATGCGTGACTCTCTAAGTCTGATGAGTCAACTCCTTTTCAACCGGTGTTTACAATTAGTTCTTCATAATAGAAAAGAAAGGATATTGTTGTTTTCTGATCATTAAGTCTGGGCATGCCTTGTCTTTCACGATCAAAATAATGCGTTGCCTGATCTTTCACGATAAATTTGAATTAAAAATCAACAAAATTATACTTTTTCAAAAATAATATGAACTTTTTCAAGTAATAACATAATTTTTTTTTATTGGAATAAAGATTAAGTGTTAAATATATTATGATATATTGGAATGTGACCATCATAGATACAAAAAGTGATATATTTTTTATGATTGTCACAGGATTGTGTGTTGCCTTTTGTGTTTTTTTTAAAAGTACTGCATTTTTTTCTTTAACTTAGTGCACAGTATTATTAAGGAAGTTGAATCATTTCGACAGACATAATTTTTTTTCTGATTTGTTCCAACTTTTGAAAATACAGCTGATTTTTCAGATTTTGAAGTAGAATTACACTAAATTGCATTCACGGTCCGATACCAGATCTTTCACGATCCGATCGCAATGCTTGACCACCTTTAGTTATTCTTTCACGATCATTTTTCTCGATATACCAAATGATACCCATGACAATGCAAATGAGCCACGACTTGTGTTGGATAGCTGGTCAACACAATGCATACAATTTTCAAAATCGCACCATATGCGAGATGCAAAGATTTACAATCCTTGTTAATTGAAACCATGCAACTATTTTGTTTTTCATTCACTACAGTTTAAATTTTAGATAATAATTTATTTGTGTGCATCCCTGAAAACTGGCTCTCATATGTTACATATAATTTTCTTAAATGTACTCACTGTTAAAACCTGTGGGACACAATATGACAATATTAGTTATATTATATTAAATTGAATGATTAATTTAGTTTCAGTTTAAACTTAATAATTTTAATAGATATTCCCATGGTCTGTTAACTCTATTAATGAAATTAAATATTGTTGACAGAAATATTGTTTTGTAAAATGTTCATCTTTGTTCCGGGACATTATATATTGTCAGTATATACTATTCCCATATTTATTGTCAAAATGCACAATAGCACGTTGTATTAAATACTAAACACAGCGCGTACAGGGACCGTCTCAAAACTGAAATTATACCATTGCCTTATCATTATTATACTTGATATTTAATAAAAATTCACACCAAAACACATATGTTTCTGTCAAAAGGCAAATAGGTTGGAATATATAAATGATTTTTGAATGCAATTTAGTCTTTACTTTTTTACTTTCTGATCTACAAATGAATTTTGATTGTTGAAATATACAATGTCACGTGGTAGCTAATCCATAGAGGGCCGTATCAAAGACATCGATAACTACCGTTGAAAATGATCAAAAATTTTTGAGATGTTCCAAGAATCTTGTTTCCGAGGATATCTGAATGGCCCATAAAAGCTACAGAAAAACTCACCAATATATAGGCGTGAACCCCTCATGGGGTTTGCTAAAAAATTAAAGACTATACAACACGAATTCCATCAAAATTCAATAATTACCAAATGTGCTCCGAATGGGTAAACAGATCCCGCTCCACATGAGGCACCCGTCGTATTGCTTATGTAATTTTACATACGTCGATAAGTCTCATTTAGTGATGTCACATTCGAAGAAATTGTGGTTACGACAACTGGAACAAATCCATCGTCATCTGTGAAACAGATATTCCATAACGGTCAACCAACTCGTGATGGCGTCTGTAATATCATCGAAGGGATAACTTCAACTTACACCCTTGGAACTCTAGGTTTAATAGCTTCCTTGTAAGCAGCAACCCTCTATCAAGGAAAATATGATAGGAAACGCAAACCCCCTGGAATATCGTATCAACTAGGTGATTTATACTCCATATGCAGGTGCTGCTGGAATGTTGTTACGTAGAAATGGAAAGTTTACAATTTGGAAGATCATCTCATCACTTTAGTCGTAAAG